AGAATTCTCGGAATCCCAGTGGGGATTGTGTAGAATCTAAGACGGAATTTCGTGAAATCACAGTAAATACTATCTTCAATCACAGTTGGGATCCATTGATAACTTACTGTAACTTCTCTAGAATTCTGGTTTGGATTGTGGCAGTTGAGAATGTATGCAACTTTATTCAGAATTCTCCGGAGTTCCAGACAAGATTGCATAGAAGTAGTACGGTTGGAATTTTCTGAAAAAGTTTCAGTCAAGATTCCTTGAATTTTCAGGAAGAATTTCATTTAGGATTTTCTGGTACATCCCCAATCGGGATTCTTTGGAATCTCAGTCGGAATTATCTATAATCTTAGTCTTGCTGCTCTGGAGTCCATATCAAGATGCTTTAGTCAGGAATCTTAGTCAGGATTTTCTGGAATTCCAGTGAGGATTCTTTGGACTTCATAATTGAGTTTCAATCAAGATTTCTTGGAATCCCAGTGAGGATTCTGCAGAATCTAAGACGGGATTCTTGGGAATAGTAGTCGAGATTTCTTGACATCACTGTAAATACTATCTTCAATCACAGCTCGGATTCTTTGATAACTTGCTGTGAATTTTCGGGAATTTTGGATTGTGGCAGTTGAGAATCTTTGCAACTTTAGTCAGAATTCTCCGGAGTTCCACTCAAGATTGTATAATCAATTGTAGAACAGTCGGAATTTTGTGAAAAAAATTTCAGTCAAGATTCCGTAGACTCTCAGGAAGAACTTCATTTAGCATTTTCAGGGAGATTCCCAGTCAAGATTTTATTGGAATCTCAGTCGAAATTCAAATTCTAATCAAGATGCTTAAGTTTGAAATTCAGTCAGAATTCTATGGTCTTCATAATTGAGTTTCAATCAAGATTTCTCGGAATCCAAGTGGGGATTCTGTAGAATCTAAGAAGGGATTCTTGGGAATCATAGTCGAGATATCTTAAAATCAAAGTCAACAACCTCTTCAATCACAGCTGAGATTTTTCGCTAACATAGTGTGAATTTTCTGGAATTGCGGTTTGGATTATGACAGTTGAGAATCTTTGCAACTTTAGTCAGAATTCTCCGGAGTTCCAGTCAAGATTGTATAGAAGTAGTACAGTCGGAATTTTGTGAAAAAGTTTCAGTCAACATTCCTTAGATTCTCACGAAGTACTTCATTTAGCATTTTCTGGAAGGTACCCAGTCAAGATTTTTTTTTAATCTCAGTCGGAATTCTCGATAATCTTAGTCGTGATGCTCTGGGATCCTAATCAAGAAGCTTTAGTCTGAAACCTTAGTCAGAATTTTCCGGAACTCCAGTTAGAATTCTATGGGCTCCGTAATTGAGTTTCAATCAAGATTCCTCGGAATACAAGTGGGGATTCTGTGAAATCTAAGATGGGATTCTTGGGAATCGTTGACGAGATTTCTTGAAATCACAGTAAATACTATCTTCAATCACATTTGGGATTCTTTGATAACTCACTGTTAATTATTCTGGAATACCGGTTTGGATTGTGGCAGTTGAAAATCTTTGCAACTTTAATCAGAATTCTCCAGAGTTCCAGTCAAGATTGTATAGAAGTAGTACAGTCGGAATTTTGTGAAAAAGTTTCAGTCAAGATTTCTTAGATTCTCAGGAAGAACTTCATTTAGCATTTTCAGGACCCAGTCGAGATTTTTTTTCGGAATCTCAGTCGGAATTCTAATTCTAATCAAGATGCTTTAGTCTGAAATTCAGTCAGAATTCTATGGGTTTGATAACTGCGTTTCAATCAAGATTTCTCGGAATCCAAGTGGGGATTTTGTAGAATCTAAGAAGCGATTCTTGGGAATCGTAGCCGAGGTATCTTAAAATCAAAGTCAATAACCTCTTCAATCACAGTTGGGAATTTTTAGATAATTTAGTGTGAATTTTATGGAATAGCGGTTTGAATTGAGGCACTTCAGATTCTCTGCAAGCTTAGGCAGAATTCTCCGGAATTCCAGTCAAGACTGTATAGAAGTAGTACAGCTGGAATTATGGAAAAAATGTTCAGTCATGATTCCTTAGATTCTCACGAAGAACTTCTTTAGCATTTTCTGGAAGATCTCCAGTTGAGATTCTTAAGAATCTAAGTCGGAATTCTCTATAATCTTAGTCTAGATGCTCTGGAATCCTAATTAAGATTCTTTAGTCTGAAATTTTAGTCAGAATTCCTCGGAATTCCAGTCAGAATTATATGGATTTCATAATTGAGATTCAGTCAAGATTCCTTAAAATTCCAGCTAAGATTCCATAGAATCTAAATCGGGATTCTTAGGGATCATCGTGAAGATTTCTTGAAATCACAGTCAATACTCTCTCCAATCCCAGTTTCTTTGATAACTTAGTGTGAGATCTCTGGAATTCCGATTTGGGATCTATAGATGTATCCCAGTCAGGATTCTTTGAAAGATTGGGTAGTGTCTGGAAACCCTGTCAGGACGCATTGATATATCGGTAGGAATTATTTCGTTAAATTCCAGTTGAGATTCCTCGCGATCGTCTTTTGAATTTTCTTGAAGAATTTAAGTCATGACTGCGAGGAAGAACTAGACTTGAAGAGATTATGTGCAATGTCAGTCAAGATTCTCGTGAATCATAGTCCGGAAGCTTTGTAATTTAAGTCCAGTTTATTAAATTTCCCAGTTGAGGTTCTTTTCCATCCTAATTAGAATTCTCTGTAATTCCAAATAGGATTGTTTAGAAGTAACAGAAACGGGATTTCTGCATTGAGTTTCAATCATAATTCCTCGAAATTCCAGTAGGGATTCTATAGACGGGACTCTTTGACATACCAGGTGCACACTTATTTTTTTTGCCGAGCTTTGCATAACGTTTGTTTTCTGAGATTCAGCAAAACATGTTCCGATACTTAGCGACCAAATGTCACTTTTGCTGAGATCGCGGGAAAATATGTTGGTCAGGAGCTCGGTTGTGCATCTCTCGATAAAAATTGCCAAGATTCGGCAAATAAAATTAAGTGTGTGGGATTCTCCCCAAGCAACACACATGTTCTCTAACAGTTTATATAAGCTTTGTATGACTGGATTTGGTTGTAAAGAAGTTTACTCAACATAACTATATGAGTTGGTGTTACTTGGGTCAGGTACCTTATCAAAGATTCGTTGGGATCTAAGTAGGGTTCTCAGGAATCTTAGTAGCGATTCTTTGAAATCCCAGTCGTCAGTCTCTCTGTAATTGCAGTCATTTTCTGGAATCTAAGTGAACATCTGGATCTGGATTCTATAGAAGTATCGATGTCGGAGTTCTTTGAAAGTGTTGCATTTGAGATTTATCTGAATACAAGTTGGGATTGTCTGGAGCTATTCCAGTTGAGGCATTGTTGGATCATATTGAAGGATTCTCTGGAAATCCTGTTGGATTTTTTTAGGAGTTGGAATTATTTGGAAAAAAAATCAGCTAGGATTCTCTAAAATCTAAGCTAGGATTCACTGAAATCTCAGCTAGGACTCTCCGGAGTTTTTTTTAATTTAAATCATCTGGAAAAACCCAAGTTGAGATACTCTGAAAACTCAGTCGTGATTCTTCAAAATCTTAGCCTAGATTATCTGGAAACTTAGTCAAGATTCTTTGAAAGCGCAGTCAAGATGCTCTGCAATCCCAGACAACCAAAAGCTGTAGAACAATGTACAAACAGTACAAGAATGTCATACATAGCATCATGTTTAAGTTAAATCGTATAAAATGCAAATTTCAGACTCATATATGATGAATAATTTTTCCATCGTACTGTTTTACAAATTAAATCGGATTCCATCATATGAAAGTCTTGTTATTACAAATTAAATCGTAAGTTATTTTTAATCACCTCGTTTGAAAATAAACTAAAATATGCTCGTTTATCACTTTTGAACGTACGAGCATTTTTTTTTTTTGCATTCTATGCGATTTGTTTGTTTGTTATTTCAGTCAGAATTCTCGAGAACTCCAGGAAGAATCATGAAAGAGTTTCAGTAGATATTCTTTTACATTCTAGTTGGGATTATCTAGAATCTTAGATAGTTTGATCTGCTATCGAAGTCGACAAACTCTGGACCTATGCTAAAATTTTAAAGCCTTTATTTTGATGGGCTTCTGGAGAGCAAATTCAGAGATAATTTATAGAAATTGAATAGGTGTTCTACATGATACTTACAATTCCAATATAAATTGATTATTCATAACTTTCAATCAGCAAACTTCAGCCATCTCTTACTCGTGCACAGAAACTGATTCCCCGGCCAAAAATAGCAGGTCACACGATTCGAAATCGAACCGGACAGGTGAATGCTCAATTGAACTGTCAGCTCCACATCACATTTGAATCATCGCTCCAAGTGGAGAATACATTACAGGGTGGGATATCAATCACTATTGGTTCTTCGGGGCCCCAAAACGACAACAACCTAGCCCGACCGGCAACCGTCTTCGTTTCGGAACGGAAAAGCAAACCAACTTCGATTCCAATTCAAACATCGCGCGCATCGAAATATAAACATCAAATTAGATAAGACCAAAGGGCGAAATTTGACAGTTGAATTGTATAATGGATGGAGGAGTATCTACATATCAATTGCGCTACCGAGTTCGAGCAGGCCTCCACACCGCTTCGCTGGATGGCGAAATAGCAGTGAATAGCTGACTGGCGATGGTCACTCAAATTTTCCCTTATCAGGTGTCTCCGGTCGACTCCGAGGAAACCCGTCAAGGGGGGATTTGATGAATTGCCCTAAATGACCGTATTCATTTCCATTCATCATTTCTTTCTTCACAATCGCCCTATAGGCTATTTGACCGATCGCATAGCGCTAATGGAGAAGTAGTTCTACAAATTGGTGCAAGTGATTGAAATTGTGTGCCGCGCGCGGAGCTTTATGTAAATTTGCGACGCTAACGGCAAAACTTTTTTGCGACCCCGGAACGAGACCAAACATATTCCGAAACTATTGATTGACAAAGTTTTAATTGATTTCTCCCTTCCCGCGCAGTCACACGTGTCGATCCCACCTCGGTGAAGACGGAAAACATCAGCAGTGGCCTGTCCCACGACGACAGTGGTAACGCTCCGGGGACGACGATAACGGGCGACGGCAGCGGCCAGGATCAGGGCACCGGAGGCGGAGGTGGCGGCAAGAACGACAAGAAGAACAAACGCCAACGACGCCAGCGGACACACTTCACCTCGCAGCAGTTGCACGAACTGGAGCAGACCTTCAGCCGGAATCGCTACCCGGACATGTCGACCCGGGAGGAGATTGCCATGTGGACGAACCTGACCGAGGCACGAGTTAGGGTAAGTTTCCCCGGGCGCCCAAGAGAGTGACACTTTCATGGTTTATTAAATCCGTTCCGTTCCGCAATTCCAACGGGGTGAGCCCCTAAAACCAACGAACGCCACAACGGGAGGTCCGGGGCATGATAATCGCGTTTGTGTTATGCAACATATTGTTATTCATAGCCGTTCGGTAGACAGACACGACGAGAGGGGGAGAGAGAAAAATCCTTTTTCGGGGTTTGAAAATTCGTCCCCTGACGAGGCGGGAAATGTTGCACAAAAGGGGAAAAGCGATGACAAACGTTTATTCTATAATGGTTTTATTGCGAATTACAAACGGGGTTATACAACACACAAAGGATGATGGCATATTGTGAGGCTATTTACAACCGGGAAATGAGCAACGATATTGGGTTTTGGGGTAGATTGAAAGATTGTGGTATTTTTTTTTTCTAAGCGAGGGGTGGGATGGTTTTTTAGTTTCGTTAGAATTTATCTTCCTGAATGATTTTAAAAATATGTCAACTTGCACATGTACTGAATTTGTGTGGAACAAGAAACCCAGACATTTACTCTGGGATCGCTAATGATGAATTTCTGGTGGTACTTGACTAACAACTCCCTTCATATTTTCAAGAATCACTGAGTTTGGATGATTCCAGAAAGCTCCGACTCTTCTGATCTGAAATAAACTGTCTCCAACTCCGATACCGACTCCGACGCTTTGAGTCCGACTCCAATTCAACAACATACAATTAACGTAAGGTCACCATTTACCGCTCACTGTATACGTTGTATCATTATCTACCTACAATTACAACAAATATCAATACAGGTATACGTACCTTGATATAACGTATCTGCCACTTTTGACTTGCATCGTTGATTGCTAGTTAACAATCATTAAATCAAGCAAAGTAATAACACCACCAGAGATATGAGACAATCCTTCACCTATGGGCCATGCCAATTTGAATAATTGAATTGTTATTTGTGAGATATCGACGATGGGAGTCAAAAGTGACAGTTACGTTGTATTGAGGTATACTTGTAGTATAATTATAATTTATACCAGTAGTATAATTTTTTTCACCTTGGCTTGCTATCCGTCGATCTTGTTTTCCGTACTGAGTACCAATGCTACCGACGACAGGGAGGCACCTGCCACACTTGATCCCTACCTATCGACCCATCAACTCATGGATTGGGGACCAACAGCTTTACTTCCCTGATAAAAAAAAATATGCCTCAATCCTTTAAATTTGTCGATCCTCTTAAAGGAATCCATTTATGAAGAGCTTTGAGTGAGTTGGTTTATTTCCTTTAAATTCCGTTATAATTGCTTATCTTTTGACAGATGCGCGTATTTCGTCTACTACTTGCAGACTTCATGAGTGCCAAGTAACGGCGCCGGTGGTGTAGTGGTAAGCGTGATTACCTCTCACCCCAGCAGGCCTGGGTTCAATCCCAGTCGGCGCCGCCGGGATGTTCTGAGGCATAACATCTCTGATCACGCCTTCCTTCGGATGGGAAGTAAAGCCGTTGGTCCCCGGTTCATGAGTTGATGGGTCGATAGGTAGGGTCCAGGTGTGGGAGCTGCCTTCCTGGCACGTCGGTAGCACGGAAAACAAGATCGACGGAAAAAACGATCCAAAGGAAAAAAAAAAAATGAGTGCCAAGTGGTGTTGAGTACTTGGCACTAATGAAGTCTGCAAGTAGTAGACGAAATACGCGCATCTGTCAAAAGATAAGCAATTATAACGGAATTTAAAGGAAATAAACCAACTCACTCAAAGCTCTTCATTATGCCTCAGATAATCCTGACGGCGACGACTGGAATCGAACCTAGTCCCTTTGAAGTGAGAGGCAGTCGTGCTTACCACTACTCCACCGGCCCCGCTTAAGTAGTATCATTCATCATAATTTGCTACAATGTGCAAGTTAAAAGAAAATTGATAAACAAAATTATACAGTGAGTGGTGGATGGCGATCTTACGGTTCTTCAAAAAATTCAGGAAAAAGTATGAAATTTCTTAAAAATTTCAAGCATATTTAAGCAATCTTTAACAACATCGGTCGTCCTTTCTAACAAAATCGGTTAAAAAAAATTGCAATGAACATGAACAATTCTAAATTCAAAATTCGTCACAGTTTCGAGTAAAATACTAAAGCTTAGAATAAAAGGAGAAATTTCATACAAATTTGATAACATTTATACAGTCAACTTTTCATACCTCGATATTTAAAGGATCATTGAGATATGTAGAGATTGAGATATAGAACAAGATTAGCTTACTAGACCATTTGAATGGATCAAGATAACCATCGACATATAGAAAAAAATGATCACAACCAAAAAATGTTTGTAACATAGGAGAAATGGATGTAATATCGGCCTAAATGCCCCTAATTTGGGCCCATACATAAACTCAGCAGTTTTCAATAGCGACCAAAAATATCCATTAGTAGCGTCCCAATGACGCGTTCTTCTAGATAAAATTGATAAATAGCAGATTCTTAGCGATGGACCCAATCTTAGATCCATAGGCCAACATTAGAGCCATTTCCCCTACATAAATTCTAAATCCACATTAAATTTCCTATGCAAATGGTGATCTAAGCAAGCGTTATGACGTCACTAAAAGGATGAAAGCCGAGTGAAAAACGAAGTGCACCAATACATTCGGCCCTACAATTTCACATCTTGTACAGACCAGGTTGAGTGACAGTTTCTTGAAGCGTGATCAAAGCAAAGGCTCGGTTAAATGCGGCTATGCCGGAACTAAGCTGGCTACCCAACAAACATTGAGCGCTGAATAAGAGCTTATTCAGGCAAAAATATGCTTCTTCAGCTAATTAATAGCTTATTCAGCTTTTAATCAGCTCAAATTGTTTGTTGGGTATGCCGGAACTAACCTGGTCTCTATACAAGGTGGTGAAATCTAAATAGCCCTCACGTATGTGGTGGTAGAGGGAAACAAGTAAACATTGCGGGTGACGATGGTGACGACGTCATATCACTCGAGAGCAACTTTTCGAAATATGAAGTAAATCAAATTTGATAATGACAGTTATTTTCCATTTGAGAATTGTTTCGTATTCTACATTTTTATTTCGGATATATGGTTGTGTCCATAAATATAAGGAATGTTTCTTCTTCTTCTTCTTTGTGAAAGTTTAATGCATGTTAAGATTAATGTGAATCGGAAATATTGTCCACAGAAAATATTGTCCAAGGTTCATTTTAGAAACAACAATGTTTTTTTTTTCGGAATAATTAAATTACTAGATATCAGTAAGGTACAAGAATAGGTAGCAAAATATGTGTTTGCCACATAAGACCAGATTGAACTTTAAAATCTGTCAATTTAATTTCCTGTGAGTCGCAATCAGCTATTTTATCAATTTTCACCCACTCACTCATAGATATCAGTAAGGTACAAGAATAGGTAGCAAAATATGTGTTTGCCACATAAGACCAGATTGAACTTTAAAATCTGTCAATTTAATTTCCTGTGAGTCGCAATCAGCTATTTTATCAATTTTCACCCACTCACTCACGCTGATTTTGACTCTTAAAAAGCAAAATTTACAGGTTTTATGTGTCAAATACAAACTTTGCAACCTCTGCTTGTAACCTACTTAGTGTTGAGAAAATATCAGTGTTGGGAAAAATCAAATCGCACCAATGCACAATATTACGCTTGATTTTCGTAGACTAAGATTGGTCGATCTTGGATCGATGTTTCATCACGATTTCCGATTTTTCGGATCGATTCTTTTTCCATGAAAAGATCGAATAAATCGAAATCTTCTTTCGGTCTTTCCGACATTAAAAAAAAAGTGTTAAATATTGTATTTGTATTTACATCGAAAAAACGATTTACTCTCACCCGAGACTGCGTGGTAAATTTAACGAACATAACCTCATCAGCATCGCTCCCTACAATGGCGTCACTATTTGTGTTTCCGATATTCATGAATACAGCAACATTTGAAGATTTTCGCTGCCTCCCTCCTGTGCTCATTGCTCCTTACCGTCACGATAACATTGAATTGAATATTACAAAGGAAAGAATTTCTTGGGGTACCAACGTAAACAAGCGTATAGTCCATTCTATATGCATGAGATTTGATGATCCGAAAGTATGGATATCAATAACAATCCAAAATTTTTGGCTAGAGCAAAAATGAGGACAGCAAACTAAGCACTTGGAAATGGGGTTACGCAAGTGTGCGAGTTATAAACGTCAGAAAGCTAAATAAAAATCAAAACCATAAGATCGATCTACCGAAGAGCGATTCTTCGGTACCGATTTAATCAGTGGATCGATTCTATAGCCAAATATAAGATCGATCCGTCAAGATCGATCTTTCTCTAAAGATCGCCCAATCCTATCGTACACAAGCAACTGCGAACTTGTAGATGAACTTTTGTTCAGGAGGTTACCTCCTGCGCAGCTGCATTTTTCAGAAAATGGTAAATGTGTGCGATTTTACTAAGATGAAAGTGGAAATTAAGTGAATTTACTTAGGAAAGGTTGTATCATGCTGGTGGTAATAGAGAATTGGTTGTATAGGACGCCAATATTCAATAAATTTTCATTTTGGCCTTTTTTAAGCAAACATATTGATACTCACAATTTTCGACGGAAAACGCACCGGAACTTGATTTACTCAACAAGCACCATGCTATAAAATGGTGCTAGATGGTCTTCAAAGTGATAACAATATGACAAATCTTCTTTATTTTGAGTAATTGAGTAATTTACTTCTGTTTACCATCATATTTACGATGCAGCATTGATGGAGCCGTGAAATGAAATGAATATATCTTATGAAAATTCACCTGAAAAAGTCAAAGATGCACATCAGTCTGATCGTAAAAACTTTTTCTTCTTCAATTCGAATGTTATATTGGAAGGATTTCACGCAGGCTTGATGAAAATTATGATTTAATGCTAATTTTCACGAATTTTATATGCAGTCTGTCAACATTATCATCATCATGCAGTGGC